TTATCTAGGGTAAAATACAACTAACTTCAACTAGTGTATGTATGATGTTGTCGGTATTATCTAGGGTAAAATACAACTAAGTTGAACTAGTGTATGTATGACGTCCTCTGTGGTGTGGAGGATTTCTTTGGTGGACTTCTAACGCCACCTAGTATTCGTATGACATTGTCACTGATCTCTAAGTTCTCGACAGCTCATGTATTGAAACGAAGAATCTTATAGTAAGTTAAATAAAAAATATTTTAAAACGGATATACGGAAATGTAAAACAACAAAATATAAATTACGACGTTTCGGTAAGTTTACTGATATTCATTAACAATATACCATACTAAATGGATCGTCTGTGGCTGACTTCCGGATTTTCTTAGTAAATTGTTCTTAATGTCAGGTAGTGAATGGATGTCATAATTATTTCCGGGTTTTGTTGGAAGAGTTATTCTTTCTACAAAATCGTCCATTTCTTTAGTCCTAAGTAGTTTAACTCCAAGATGGCGATTTTTTCTTTGATCTCGACGATATGATCGAGAATTTTACAGAATTCCAAATGAGGCAGTATTTATGGATCATTACTGTAATAAAGTTGTAAATCTGATCAGTTCAATTTTTTTGGTTTTGAAGAACTGCACAGGCCCAGTATTGTTTATTGAATAGAAGAAACCTAGTTTTTAGCCTAGCCATAAGTCTGGTTTTTCGAGGTACTTAATACAAAAACCCTATATTGGCTTTGTAGTTTCCGACATACACATTGTTGGATCTGTTCTTAGTTTTTACATGATCGTGACATGGCTTTGTAGTTTCCGACATACACATTGTTGGGTCTGTTCTTAGTTTTTACATGATCGTGACACACTTTTGAACATCGTCACTCGCGGTTGATTAGCTACCTTGTTTGTCCATGTCAGTATGTTTACAACTATGTCTGTGTAAAGTGTACGTCACGTCAGTATATTTACGAATGTGTTTGTGTTAAACGGTACGTCATGTCAGTATGTTTACGAATGTGTTTGTGTTAAACGGTACGTCATGTCAGTACGTTTACGAGTGTGTCTGTGTAAAAGGGTACGTCATGTCAGTATGTTTACGAGTGTGTTTTTGTAAAAGGGTACGTCATGTCAGTATGTTTACAGGTTTGTGTGTGTAAAAGTGTACGTCACGTCAATATGTTTACAAGTTTGTGTGTGTAAAAGGGTACCTTACGTCAGTATGTTTACAACTGTGTCTATGTAAAAGGGTACGTCATGTCAGTATGTCTACAAGTTTGTGTGTGTTAAAGGGTACGTCACGTCAGTATGTTTACAACTGTGTTTGTGTAAAAGGGTACGTCATGTCAGTATGTTTACAAGTTTGTGTGTGTAAAAGGGTACATTACGTCAGTAATTTTTCAAGTTTGTGTGTGTAAAAGGGTACATTACGTCAGTAATTTTTCAAGTTTGTGTGTGTAAAAGGGTACGTCACGTCATTATGTTTATAAGTTTGTGTGTGTAAAAGGGTACGTCACGTCAGTATGTTTACAAGTGTGTTTGTGTGAAAGGGTACCTTACGTCAGTCTGCTCGTATCTGTAGTTTTATTAGAGGCAGTCTTTCACGAGAACCAACTCTCACAAAGACCTTGGTTATTAACATGTATTCTGGATTGTTACCACAAAACGTTCGGTCTCCATTCACGTTCTCAGTCGAAGTTCGCGTGATTTTAGCCTGGAATTATGGGATTTGACGTCCAGAGTCTGATACCGAAGGACTATGTATCATTTGCGGTGCATTGCTCACTCTCTCGCCGTGGGTAATGTCCGTTGGTGATTCGTCATATGCAATCAGGCGTGTTTTACAAAGAATGGGATAAGACACTCGCAAGCTCTACTTTTAGTGTGTTTTTTTTCCTTTAAGTCCCCGAGGCTCTCCTTCTTCGGAGAATGTGAGAATCTCTAGCTGCTATGGAAGATTGCTTCGATATTAGTATGTCCCTCGAGACAAACCTGACTGACGTATTTACGATGCTGCTGCCATCTTTCGGATTAATTATACAAAATAGGTACAGCTAAAATAAAAAAACAAACTTGTTTTGCTTCCATTTCAAATATATATGTATGTATTGTTTTAATTATGTATATGTTGTTAATACATATATGTATGTATTGTTTTAATTATGTATATATTGTTAATATATATATATATATGTTTATAATTCTGATTATATAAACATTGTCGGTATATATTTGTCTGATTGTGTATGTATTATTAATTTAAATATATATATATATATATGTATATTTCTAATAATGTTTAGTTTTTATATACATTTCTGTATTCCAGGGTTCAGACTCAGGCTCAGATCTTTTCACTACAGTTCAGAGTAAGTTATAGATTTTCTGACATTTTTTTCTCTCTAAATTTTATTTTATAGTCTTATATAGGCTATGTTTATATGGGATGTAGTTACAGGTATATAGGATATAGTTACAGGTATATAGGTGTAGTTACAGGTATATAGGTGTAGTTACAGGTATATAGGATATAGTTACAGGTGTATAGGATATAGTTACAGGTATATAGGATATAGTTACAGGTGTATAGGATATAGTTACAGGTATGTAGGATATAGTTACAGGTATATAGGTGTAGGTACAGGTATATAGGTGTAGTTACAGGTATATAGGATATAGTTACAGGTATATAGGTGTAGTTACAGGTATATAGGTGTAGTTACAAGTATATAGGATATAGTTACAGGTATATAGGATATAGTTACAGGTATATAGGTGTAGTTACCGGTATATAGGATATAGTTACAGGTATATTGGTGTAGTTACGGGTATATAGGATATAGTAACAGGTATATAGGTATTCAAATACAATGTAGACAAGATGGTAGGGATGGCATTTGTATCATCCCTACATAATAGCACAGGCAAGAATTAACATATAGCGATATATATATATAACTATTCAATCACAATTGAGTTTAATTTATCCTATTATTGTATGTTAACGTTCTACTACACTGTGTGCCTGTACTATTATGTAGGGATGATACAAGTGCCATCCCTACCATCTTGTTTGTATTGTTTTTGAAGGATTGATATTGGCCATCCCTACATTTACTTCATTATTTTGAAAAGTTTTTCTTTACTTTTGTTAGAGAAGACCACAATAAAAAGATTGTCGAAGCTCTAACAGAACGTAACTATAAAGTGTATTCTATGTAGTTTCTAGAATTATCGACACGTTTCTCATTCAGAATTCAGCTTCTCACCTGATTGTTGAAGCTCTAACAGAACGTAACTATAAAGTGTATGCTATGTAGATTCTAGAATTATCGACACGTTTCTCATTCAGAATTCAGCTTCTCATCTGATCCAAGTTTAAGAAGGGAGTAACGTTGATCCAGAGGATTCACTAAACACACCCACCCTTTTTTATTCCTTACACAGAAACGAAACGACAACCAAAGTGTGTATCTGACACGAGTTATCGCATTTTTTTTTATCCCACGAAAGGATTCTAGAAATATATATTCCGAAGTTGTGACTATAAACATTTCCTTAAAACAAATTATTGAGAAACTTTGACACAAGATTTTCGTTTCTACATTTTACTGTTATTTTCTGCAGATCCATCCGTTACGATTATTAGAAATGTCTCTTCCGGTAATGAATCCTTCTTGTGATAATTCGTTACGATTACTAGAAATGTCTTCCGGTAATGAATCCTTCTTGTGATAATTAGAAATGTCTCTTCCGGTAATGAATCCTTCTTGTGATAATTAGAAATGTCTCTTCCGGTAATGAATCCTTCTTGTGATAATTAGAAATGTCTCTTCCGGTAATGAATCCTTCTTGTGATAATTAGAAATGTCTCTTCCGGTAATGAATCCTTCTTGTGATAAGACTCTTTCAGCCTTATGAATTAATTATTATAAGCCACCGACTAAACACTATATTTATGCCAAAATTACTTCAACTATCGATCTGATATATTACTTATTACCGAGGGTTGAGGAAAATAAAATTATCATCTTAACGGAAAGTAGGGATCGTTGGTTATTTGTAGAATTGCTATAGGAAGTATCCAAAACAAACTAAATGCTGCAATAAAAAGTACACAAACAAGTAAAGTGATAATAATAATAATAGTAACCGTTTTAAAATCTATCCAACAGAATAATGTACATCGAAACAGGATACAATTGTAAGTTTTTCAATAAATTAAATATTGTGTTCTGTAGCAGAGAATTAAATAAGCGTTTTTTAAAGATTGGCCTGTGTAGATGGAACAAAAGATGGCTGCGGAAGGAAACGCGATTAATTTACGAGCTGAAGTTACAGTAACAAGGCTGTTTGGGGGTGGTAGGTGGAACCACGCAATAGAAAGAAACAGGGTAGATGTAGGAACATCAGTTGGATGGCTCAACCTATGTCAAATTACTGGCGAGTAAAATCGTTAGTCCTCCAGCAGGTCTACAACCGACCACTCTACTCATTTTCTTTCTCTTAACGCGCGCGAGCCAAATGCGGTAATTTGCTGAAGGTAAATATCAAGTAAAGTCTCGCGAATCAGTCAATAGATTTAGTATTTATAAGAGACGCGTTCATCGAAGGGTCTTGTAACAGTTTTTCCGTCTGGGCCCAGAGTTAACGTCTGTGTACGGTGGGGGACAAATAACGCTAGTGTCTATCAACTCGCTCAGCCGATTGCCCTAATCATCTTAACATTTTATATAATAGATTGCGTTTATTGTACACACGAACCCTTGTCCAGCTTATTGTTCTTTTTACGACTCTAAATAAATAAACAGACCCGGCATGGCCAGGTGGTTAAGGCGCTCGACTCGCAATCTAAGGGTCGCGGGTTCGAATCCCCGTCACACCAAACATGCTCGCCATTTCAGCCGTGGGGGCGTTATAATGTGACGGTCAATCCCACTATTCGTTGGTAAAAGAGTAGCCCAAGAGTTGGCGGTGGGTGGTGATGACTAGCTGCCTTCCCTCTAGTCTTACACTGCTAAATTAGGGACGGCTAGCCCTCGTGTAGCTTTGCGCGAAATTCAAAACAAACAAATAAATAAACCGAATTATTTCACCTTAAACTGGGTATATAAAACTTTTTATGTCGGTTTTTATTATTCATTACGATACTCTGACCAACAGGATTTCAACAAGTCAACGTGAACCCTAATTATTTTGAATTTCATGAAACAAAGTATGTTGTATACGACAATTTAAACGTAATAATATTTCAATCTCGTTTATGGTTTGTTCTGATGTTGCCATTCTAATATTATGATATAGTTTTTGCTTCTTTTTTTTTTGTAAATCTAGTCTAGCACACTTAACAATTACGAGTTTACTTTAAAGGTCAAATTGAGTTAGGCTTGTGGACAACTTCATAAGTGTTGACATTTAAATTAATTTATAATAATCATAAATACTACTGGTTTGTAGGTTCCAGAAACAGTTCAATCTCACTCTGTGTTTCAGATTGTTTTAACTTAAAAGTCACAAGTGCTCAAACTACAAGAATTTCCATTATAAAATTTATCTGTATTTTTTAGTTAATTCCCCCCTGTTGTGATGTTTTAGCAGAGGCGAATCCAGGGGGAGGCTGAAGGGAGCTTAAGCACCCCCTCAAGACGAAATTTCAAAACCTATTTAAGAATTCAGTAAGGGAAGAGGCAGTGATTAGTATTACTTTGATACACGTGAGTTGAGGTGGTACAAGATGTTGAGACATAGCATGGCTTGGTGGTTAGGATGCTCGATCGTGGGATCGAACCCGTCGCTGAACATGCTCGCCCTTTCAGCCGTGGAAGAGTTAAAATATGATTGTCAATTACACTATCTGTTGGTAAAAGAGTAGCTCAAGAAGTGACGGTGGGAATGTTGACTGGCTGCCTTCCTTCTAATCTAGCTCTTCAAAATTAGAGACGGCTAGCAACCTGCGGATCGTGGGATCGTAACCCGTCGCTGAACATGCTCGCCCTTTCAGCCGTGGAAGAGTTAAAATATGATTGTCAATTACACTATCTGTTGGTAAAAGAGTAGCTCAAGAAGTGACGGTGGGAATGTTGACTGGCTGCCTTCCTTCTAATCTAGCTCTTCAAAATTAGAGACGACTAGCGCAGGTAGCCCTCACGAAATTCAGTAAACAAACAATCTAGATATGTATGTAATTATCGAAAAATTATTGAAACATCCAACGCGCTTCTTCATTTCAACAATATGAGTATTGTCGCGTATCCCCAGTCAGATCTTCGAACTACCGGCTACCCTTGACGCATAACTCACCGAGATAGTCCGCCAATTTTGAACCAGTTGGGCTTATTTTCTTTTTAATGTTTTTCCCCCAAAAAAGTTCTCGCGTACCATAGGTTATGTTTTATTGTACTTTTGTAGATATTTTGTGTACTTTTTTAATACAGCCCCTTTTTTAAATCATGTAAAGTGAGTCTGATACAATCCCCCCCCAAGCTGAAATTCTTACGTTCTTGATCGTGACTTTAGACTTACTCGAAACAATACTTTTAGGTTTACTTTAACACAATTTCTTGTGAAAAAAAAAACACTTTAATATAGACTTATATAGTTTGTTTAGTTGTGTGTTAATTGCATATGTATTTTGTTTTGATTACTCGTATACTAAGCATTCTGTTCTTTATTGGTAATTAAAGAGTGTGAATTATATTTTAATATGAGTTAAACCTCGTAAGTACCATGAAATACATGTCTTTAAAATACCATGTTTTATAAGAATTCTTACAAATGATTACAATTCTTTTCTTCTACAGGAGAGCTATCACCAACACTGAAAAGCAACAAGAAGATCCAACCTGAAAACATTAGAGCTGGTGCTCTTTCTCCTCCTCACTTCAAATATCCCCTTCAAAATGGGTCTTTAAGAGATGAGCTAGTGAGTTCATCTTCTCCTGAACCGGTGTTAAGCTACTCGGCTGCAGGACTAACATCGAAAGCTGTGTGTGTTAGCACACCAGAATTACCTTTTCTAGCACACAAGGTAACAATTAGTGGCACGTCAGTCTCTGCTACCTCAGTAAATAGTGTTTCCGAACTTCAAGAAAATTGCCCTCCTCCTTGCCTCTCACCTATTATCTCTGGAGTCCTCGTGAATTCTGACAGTAACTTCGGTATCTCACGAACTGGATCTTTAACTGCTAAAGGTCTTTCTGGTGGAAGTAACAAGAATAACGATCTTATTTCTCCATCTACCTACCCATCCAAGTCACTGCCAATACTTGCTACACCCTTAAGTCATACTCCTTTTCAAGGGAAGAACTCTTTCCCCATCATAAATGGTGTAAAAACGTCTATTTCTTGTAGTGACCCGAGTGTTGGATCAGCACTGCCCAAAACGTCTGTACCTGTTTCATCATCATCATCATCATTTCCTTTTTGCATCTCATCTTCACACATCCCTCAGGAACGGCCACCGTCCATCTCTACAACAGCCTCGAATAAGTCGACATCCTTGGTATCCTCCACCTCAGCTTGCTCTTCTCATATTTCGCACACCCCTTCTACCTCTGTTAATTCTCGACCCACTTCATCAGTTAGCCAGAGCAATCTCCTTAACCATCATCCGGGTTTCAGCCTTACAACGCACTCCAAGACATCTACCCTAACAGGCAGCAGGGATAGCAACAGTAGTCTATCCAGTCTCGGACACTCTCTGCATAGTAACAACAACAAGGAGAGTGCTAGTCGTAGCAGCTCAAGAGGCAATACGCCTGCTCTGAGTGCGTCTTCAGCTACAGCTCTTGGTGGACACGACCCCTCAAACAACCCCACATGTTGTACCTATGCTGTTGCATCTTATGGAAGCACTAGTCTAGTGTTTAGCAAGTCCCACTCCTGGGGGAGGTAGGTGTCACTTCTCATTTATCCTAAAGAAAAACTACCAACCTTATAGAATCCCTGATAAAAAAACAAACAATCATCCAATTAAGAAACAATATTTTATAATCTCTACTTTCAAGTCATTGTTTTAACATACACTGCAGTGTAACCTTCTATTTAAATACCATTTAGATATTTTGAAAAGTCTATAGTAGAGGAAAACAAGTGATACAAGTTTACGTCTTGAGAAAGAATTATAAGCACTGTGGTTTAAGTCACTAAATGTTTTGTTTACCGTAGTTAAATAAAAAGTGTTCTCTACAAAACTACAGAGATTGCACACTGTCTCGTATGACTTTGCATCATAATTCTTTTTCGAGTCATGGTTTGTGTTATAATATTGCCTTCAACACATTTATAACTTATGATAGAATATGCCTTTATTACTGTGATTACTTTGTACAAATATTGCCTTTATAACAGCCATGGTTTGTGTTATAATATTGACTCCATAAAAGTCACGATTTGTGGTAGATTATTGCCTTCATAACTGTCATGATTTTGTTATAATACCATCTTAAAAACAATCAGAGCTTATAGTAGAATATTGCCTTTATTACTGTGATTACTTTGTACAAATATTGTCTTTATAACAGTCATGGTTTGTGTTATAATATTGCCTTCAACACATTTATAACTTATGATAGAATATGCCTTTATTACTGTGATTACTTTGTACAAATATTGTCTTTATAACAGACAAAACATTTATTAGAATATCATCTTCACAAGTGATGACTTGTATTAGCATATCTGAAACTTTGTGATAGTTATGATTTATGAAAGATTTTGGCCATTTAATAGATAGAAGTTTTGTGTCTCCAAACTTGTTATTAGGAGTTATGAACATGTTTGATAAATTGTTTTAAGTATCTAAAAATAAAGAATGGAAGTTTACAGATTGGCTGACTTTTTCAGATTTAGTTTTTTGTATTTCATTCATACAATGTAGATATGTATATCTTACATAATTTTAATTTGAAATGTGATTATAAAATATAAAATAAACTTTTTTTTTTAGTAATGGTGAATAATTAGCATCAATCTGTATTATTATTTCTGGCTTAGTAGTATAAGCTAATATTCCTACATTAAAAAGTGTACTAACTGATGAATTATTCTGTCAGACCCACATAGTTTATATGTGTTACAAACATTATAAATTTTCAATCGTATGTCCAATTTAGTGGTTACTGTCAGATCCTGTTTTTATCTTAGCAGTAAATTAGGTTATTGTCAGATCTGATTTCTATATTAGCAATAAGTTAGTAATTTTTGGTGTTCAACCAACACATCTTTCAGGTCAAATGCAAGTCCAGTTCACGGATGTAATGGGCCTGCCTTAACCCGATCGGGTGGAAGTTCTACTTCCATTCCACTGCCTCCATCGCTTTCCAATAGCCACCATTCCTCTCCATTCGGTAACCTTCCAGGCCATCCAACACTACATCCTGTGATGTTTGGTCCAGCCCTGCATCCAGCAGCTTCGTTACCAACATCTGGGTCGTTGGGATCTCCAGATGGTCCACCCCCCTATGTTGCAGGAGATGCCATATACCCACAGCCAAGTAAGTCCTCCCACATCCTCTTACTTGTTTTTAAATAGTTTGTTGCATACAGAATATTAACATGGATTAACTGATGGGAAATTATCCAGTTTCAATCTTGCTTTTCCTCTCAGTAAGTGAGGTGATACAATTTGTAGAATTTTTATGCCTTTATCTTTAATTATTCTGATTTAGATTTTGTCCTAACATTTTAGCTGTAACTTCTGGCATGCTGTGACACAATATGTTTTATTTAGTATAAAGTATTGTGTCACAATGTTTACATTAAAGTCAAAATGTTTTTACACTGTTTATTATTCATTTCTAATGCATTGTGTGAAACATATTACATCTATTTCCAAGTTATTTTTTCACACCAAAATATTACATCCATTTCCAAGTTATTTTTTCACACAGTTCCTTCTTCGGAAAGAAACAAGTTACTTACATTTTTGTATTTATTTCATTACTACTGTTCTTGTACGATTTAAGTCTCGAAAAGAACATTTCTTTTTAAGTATTTTTGTTGTACTCTGATTACTACAGTAAACTGTCAAAAAAGTATTTTAGGCCTAAGGAATACTTAATCTCATTCAATAAGCTGCTTAGTGTAGGAAAAGAAACGTCAACTCTTTCTCCGGATACCACTACTCTACAAATCACATTTCAGTATTGAAATCTGACTTCTTTCTTCTAGATCCAGATTATCTACGACGAGAATTGGACACTAGGTTCTTAGTGTCGCACGATCGAACTCTTGGTATTCATCCTCCACCATTCATGAGGCCAGAACATCATCACCATCAACATAGCCCATTCTTACCCCCACACCTGGGGAGTTCACTGGTTTCTCCACAGCCACCAACTGGCCACTTGGTTAGTGATTTTGTTTAGTTAACAGAGAAAGGTAGAACTCAGACTTAATATTTCAGTTTTGTTCCTTGGAGGCAAGGAATCACTTTTTTTTAACACTAGTTGTCAGATTGTGTGTACCATGTTACAAAAGTTTTGGATATTGTAGTAAAGATAAGTGAAGTTTTTCTCGGTGTATATCTGATAAAGTTTTATTGTCTACAAACATGGTGAGGTATGTCATTCTTATAACCCTGATTACTTAACGCTAAAAGCAATCTGAATTATGCTTATAAATATTATTGTGCTAACCTTTTTTTTTTATGAGTTTTATTTAGAGTATAAATCTATATTTTCCATTATAGTACGAGAAGTTTCCTAAGCTGGACAGCCCTATATATACTAGGAACCCTGTAAGTACCTAAGTGGCGACTTGTTAACCGTTTTTTGGTATACTGGTTGATTATTCATTGATAGAGGAAGTTAGCTCTAAAAAAAAGGTTACTTATGAAGTCTAATCTGCCACTTATAAAACGTTTATCTTTGTTTTTCCTTGCATAAACTTGTGTTTGAAGGATGAGAGAAACCCTCTAAATATGGAATGCATGTTAAGTGTACCCTTTCATCATCATGTATCTTATTAGTGAATTTAATTAAAATGTTTTTTATAAACGATTTACTTCTCTTCACGTACATTGTGTGATGAAAACAAATTAATGCTTGGAGTGGATAATATTTTACAAATACATATTTACACTGAACAGATTAATTCAGTTTTAATTATCTTAACTTTATTCTGTACAACAGTATGGAGCAGATCTGTAATTATTGGTCGATTATACAATGAAGAAATGTGGCTGGTACACCTAGGCTAGACAGTAGTTAACCTCCAAGTCTGTAGCCAAGGGGGAATGAACCCCCACTCTAACCAGAGTTCTGCTCCCCTATTAACATTAATAATTTTTTTCTTTCTTTGATGATGGCCTCTCATTATGTAATTGCTCTTGTAACACTGTGCAGACATGTGGAAATAGCAGTTTCATACTTATCAGTGGAAATGTACTAGAAGTGTTTATATACAGTGATAATAAAGGAATCAGGAAATGTACTAGAAATGTTTATATACAACGATAATAAAGGAATCAGGAAATGTACTAGAAATGTTTATATACAACGATAATAAAGGAATCAGGAAATGTACT